CACACTCATTCATTCATTTGTTCCAGCGTTCATTCATTTAGACAAACGTGTGCCGACCTCAAGGTTACGGCGCTGTTTGGTGTTCTTCTGGGTGTCCCCCGGTGTTCCCACGCGCTCTAGAACTTCTTTACCTGGAAGCACACACACACACACTCACTCACTCACACACTCACACACGCAGAAGAGCGAATACGAAATTCTTCGAAGTAGCCCGAGACTGACGAGCCGGTATTACCCAACACCGATTCATGTTCGCGCGGCACTTTGCATTCCTCTCTATGCCACGACGCAATAAGGGCTTGCGAGATTAAAAACACAGTCCTCTCTTGCGCCTTTCTTCCTGTTCGCCTTTTATTCCATTCATTTGAATCTTCGCCGCAATTCTCGCCCTTATATGGTCACCGCGTACGAGCGAGCGCCTTCGTGAGGGTTACGCCTCCTTGGTGGCGCTGTTCTTCAAGGTAATAATGGGAAGGATCACATAACTGGCATACCTGAGTTCGCACACACAGAGTGGCGCCTCGCACAACACACCGCTTGCCCCCCGCCCGCGCCTGCCTCCCGCCCACCGTCCATAGCCGCCCACACCACTCGGGCCAGTCATGCGACTCTCTCTGGAACCTTCGGGGGCTGACTTGGCGGATCAAAGGAAGATGAAAAGGGAAAGGAAGATAAAAAAGGAAGATGGATATGCGAGGAAACGGGTAGCGTTAGCAAGACGGACGTTGGGAGATACGGATGGAAGCACAGAATGAGGAGGGCGATGAGGAGGAGGGGGGGGGGCGCGGAGGGAAAGTCTTCGGACTCCCTCACAATTTACCTGGTAATGTCATCGTTAAAGCGAGGCGAGATTTATGCTGATGAGTTTAAATATGGTAATGGGACGCGAGCGGGAGGCTGAGGGGGGGAGGTAGGGAAGGAGGGAGGGAGGGAGGGAGGGAGGCGGGCTTGACACGGAGATTTTCGAGGATCTCTCATCTCATCTCTCTATCTGTTCTCTCTCTCTCTCTCTCTCTCTCTCTCTCTCTCTCTCTCTCTCTCTCTCTCTCTCTCTCTCTCTCTCTCTCTCTCTCTCTCTCTCCCTCCCTCCCTCTCTCCCTCCCTCCCTCACCCCCCTCCCATTCTCTTCATTACCTAGAAATTAGCGATTCGTATCAACTGACATTTATAACCACCTCTTATCCCATTTAACATTTACCTCAATGTCCACACTTTCTAGCCTTCACATATGCGGCCATATGACGTGTCTTTCTGGCGCCATCACAGACACCCTTCCTCTCATTTGTGAGCAGTACAAGCAACTATCGATGTTTCATTGCACGCGTTGATGTGCAGTATTGCATACTAACGGTGGCATTGCTTTTCGTCGCGTTTAGAAAGTAGACATTTAAATTTGTAGATTACTGTTGTCTTAGATGTGCTGGATGTTCTTAATAGAATACTAATTGGAGTTCAAGCTATCGAGGGAATGTATGTCGCCGATGACACCCACAGCACAAGAGTTATTTTTTTGTTTTAAATCTTTCAAATTGACTTCGCCTTCCTTCTTCTCTATCGCCGATAAAACACGGGAATCCGGTTGTGGTGCATTAGATGTGGTAGCCTGGGTGTGGTAGTCGGGGTGTGGTTGCCCAAAACCCTCCGTGGGCAAGAGTTGGGTGTGTGGCGGCCTCGGGCACGGCGGCAGCGGCGGCGGAGAGGAGCCGTGGCGCCGGGCAGGCCTGACGTGAGGACGGTGCGGCCACATTCCCCCCGCGCCCACGCCCGAACGGGACACTGTAAATGTGTCCACTCGCCGCAGATTTTAAGCCCTTGTTTGACTTTCGATTTCCCTCCCTGGCGTCAGCGTGTGTGTGTTTAATGGCGCGCACGATTGGCGGCGCGAGTGAGGGCGGCCCTGGCACCGCGGCCTCACGCATCCTCGCGCCGGGAAGGTCGCGCCCACGGACTTTTCTCTTCGGATGGGCGGAGGTGGGGGTGGGGGGGATCTCCCTCCTTAAAGTCAAAATGTATCTCATGCGACTCCCCAAAAAAGAAAAAAAAATGGATACAAATCTTGTCGATCTTCTTCCTCTTTTCCGTTCTCTGATTGGCATTTTCGAGAGATTTACAGTTGAGGAAGACCAGAAATGCGAGCGTCCGTTCCTTCAGTCACTTTCAGCCTCAGTACAGGTGACCTTATTCGCCTTTTCGAATCTCTTAAATTTTCGCATCAATTCGGATTTTGGCGAGTTTCCCCACGCGAAGAATTATGTAGTGTTGTGCAAGTTAGAAAATAAGGAGGTAGGGGAAAAAAAAGCTTGGATATCTGTTGTGGAGGAGTAAGGTAGAGGCAGAAATACTCCTGTTAAGTTCTCTCTGTCTTTCTGTCATCTCTGTCTCTCTCTCTCTCTCTCTCTCTCTCTCTCTCTCTCTCTCTCTCTCTCTCTCTCTCTCTCTCTCTCTCTCTCTCTCTCTCTCTCTCTCTCTCTCACTCACTTTCCCTCGCGTTTTTTCTCCCTCCCTCCCTCTCCCTCCGCACATGAAGGAGGACCCACTGCGGCGCCAGCCCACATAACTAACACCCCCCCGTCCAACTAAGCGACCTTCGCCGTCTCCTGCCCCCCCTCCCCCCTTCCCCCTTCCCTTACCCTCCTGCCCTTCACATCCCTCAACCCCTCCCTTCCTTCACCCTTTGCCCTACAACCTCCGACAATTTCTTTTCCTTCTCTTCGCTGTTGTCGCTCTCTCTCTCTCTCTCTCTCTCTCTCTCTCTCTCTCTCTCTCTCTCTCTCTCTCTCTCTCTCTCTCTCTCTCTCTCTCTCTCTCTCTCTCTCTCCCCCCCCTTCTATCTATCGCCGCTCGAAGTTCTCCCTCTCTTTTTTCTACGCTTGTTATCGTCCACATTCTTCGCCTCGAGTTATTATGCATGTCTTTTTATCTCCTTCAGACAGCGGGATTGAGTCGCCGTTTGATATTGGTTTCACTAACTGATAATATGATCGTTTTTCTCTCTTGTTTTCTGCGATGGGAGTTGATAGCCGGGCGAAGCAAGACCACTGTGGGTAAGTCTGTAACCCGGTCGCCTCCGTACTTGTTTTTGTGACAGGCCTCGGCAGTGGCGGCGGCGGCGGCGGCGATTTTTATTTTGTGTAAACCTTTGCGATCGCTTTGGTTTTCTTGCGACTGTGAGACTAAAATTTCCTTAGGGGTGAAACGACTCTTTTAAGAATGATATGTCTTCATTTTCTTTCTTTTTCTTCTTCCGTTTTTTGTTTTGTTTCCCTTCGATTGGTCCAGAGGAAGTGAAAGGTTTCCCCCTGAGCTCAAGATTCATTTTGGAATCGGTATTGTGCTTTACCTTTTCCCCGTGTGTACCAATGTGGAATTTTCCGATAACATCAGTCGCGCTTTAATGCCTTTCTCTTGCCGTAGATCCTCAACCGTAAAAATAGTTCATCACGACCTCGGCTTTTTAAATGCGCGTTGATGATCATATTGGCTGCGGACTAGTGTAAACAGATGTATCCAGCTCAGCCCATTCATTCATTCCCTCCCTCCCTACCCACCCCTACCGACCCTACCTCCTCGCCCCCTCCCAACCCCCTCCCGGACCCTTCCATTCTTGCTCGTGGGAAAATTTACGTTGCCAGGATGTTTCCCCGGCCGCCCATTCATTCATTCATTGGGCGCGACCCGGGTGAACCGTGAGGCTTGAACTTGACCCCCCACTTCCAGGGCGCGATCTTGGAACCAGAGGATCGTGAAGGGGGGTGTGAAGGGGGGAGGGAAGGGGGGAGGAAAGGGTGACAAGGAAGGGAAGGGGAGGCCTTTAATGATGGAATAAGTACCAGCTTAACACCACGTCGGTCAGGTGTAGAGGAGGTGGGGGTAAGGGTGAGGGGAAGGGGGCAAAGAGCGGTTTTGTGGTGTAGAACACGATATCATTGTAACCATAATTATTAGTGTTCTTGAATTACAGGGAAAAAATAGTAAATAATAATCATGTCGCAGAGGACTGCTTGAAGGACATATGAGGTTCCTCGTGCAAATTCTGTCGTATTGCTTCTCGGATTGTTGTTAAAGTGACGTAGAGCCGAAAGGAAAGTAGAAAAGGTATCGCTAGTCGTTATGTGGTTGGATATCAGTTGGAATAGATGCATGTATGCGTACAAGAAAGTTGTGCGTGTACGCACGAGAAGTTGTGGTGCGGCCAGGCGGGAAGAGGGGCGTGTGGGGTCATGGGGGTCACGGAGGTCGTGACCCCTCCCCCACACCCCCTCCTCTACCAAATGAGAGGAAATCAACCATTTTAATGGGAAAATGCGGCCGGATCACGACTGCGTTCATAGAAAATACGGTTAAAATAAAGGTGCAGAGTGAGCAGCACCTCTCTGGCGTTCGTATCCGTGGCCTCCAACGAAACGCTTAAACTAATGAGGGGCCGCGGGGCATGCGTCTGTTTCCCTCGCCGAGTGTGATGCCAGGGGCAGGGGGCACGTCGTGGTTGATATAATAATGATACTTATCGCCACTGATGCTGCGGCAAAAATATATCATCGGTGAGACGAGTGTGCGTGCGTGACCGTCGCAGCACCGCCATCAGCCTCAGCATCTCTCTCCACCCATCACAGACCTCATCTCGGCTTCCGGCCCCGCGGGCATCCTCTGTACGGAGAAATCGTGTCAGCCTCTCTGCTACTGCTGCTCCTCCCTCCCCTCGCTTGCCCTTATCATTATAACCATCATTAACGCCACCATTATCATAATCATCATCGCCAAGCCCTCATTACCGCAAGCAAGTCGGTTTGTTGTACCAAAACTCCCCGAGCGTCCACTCTAACGAGGGTCAAAATTGACGCTTTCTTAAGCGTATTCTAACTGTTCTTCTAAAGCGTTTTGTGCGCCATTATATGTTAGTGTTCGTCACACACGCAAGAACGCAGCATTATTATTTATTTTGCATAACTGAATTACTACTTTTATATTTCTTTACTGACAGTGTTTTTTTTTCTTTGTAGAAGAGTGAGGAGGACCTGCCAGTGTGCTCACCATGGTCCGTTTGCAACAAGGTCGACACGTACGACACCCCGCGGGTGGAACGCCAGTGCAGGTGTCCCTCTGGCCAGACCTGCAGCGCCTCCCTCACGTCCTCCGATGGACACACCATCACCGACAAGAACCGCCAGTTTAAGGTGAGTTTACTAAGTCTGAGAGCAATTTCTTGTCAACCAAAACTGCTGCGGAATCCAGATCAATAAGAATAAATGACTTCAATCGTGTGTAACATTCTGAATATCACGAGTCAACCGCAACAGAAGGAGCTATAAAAATGAACGACATGCCCCCAGGCAGCCATTTTAATCGAACATCCTCTTCCTTCGCCAGCTGTGTGAACCCATCAAGAAACTGCCCAAGTGTCGCTACTTCCGCGATGTCACGTGGACTTTCATCACGTACCCGGACAACGTGACGCAGCAAATCATGCACTGCGCCTGCCCCAAGAACTCCGTGGCTTACATCATCAAGCGCCACGCCTTTCAGACCGAGCAGGGCCTCGGGTTCCAGTACAGCTTCGCTTGCTCACCTCAGAGCGTAAGTGCCGCTTGCCCGTTTATGCTGCGTCGATGGCGCGACTGTTCGTTTAAATGATTTAAAAGCATAATATTGCTTCGTTTATTAGAATACTGTTTCGTTCAAATAGATTAACAGTATGAAAAAAAATAAACAAAGAACTGGAAATTTGGCGTTAATTTCTTTGTCCTTGGCCATAAACGTGTCCCTTCCTTCGCAAACACAAAAGCCTTTCATTACTACTTGAATTTACGAAGCAGTCCATTATAAAGTATTCATATCCGGGTTTCTCTCAACAGCGCCTCCGGTGTCAGCGCAAGGAGCCCTGCCGACTTTTCACGGTGAAGAAACGCCCTCAGTTCGAAGAAGTGAACACGAACACCCTGTGCCAGTGCCCACACGGCCACCGCTGTCCCCGCCACCACATGGACCCCGGCGTCATCCCCGGCAAGACCTACACGGAGGATTCCATACGCACCTACAGCGGCTACTGCATGTGAACGCCAGGAGGACCTCCGAGCAGCGGTCCGCTCGACGCTCGACCGACCTACGCTTCTCTCCCAGAGCGCCTGGAGCTGCCTGTGCTCTTTCGTTGTGCGCATCAGCCCATCTTGTTCGTGAGCGCTGAACCCTTGTATACATGCACAGCGCGCCCCACTAGAGCTAGTGTAAGTGTGAGTGTGGGGACGCCGCCACGCTAGGCATGTCTCGATCTTGCGGCAGCGGGTCTGGCCCACGGCATCGTGTGGCGCCACGGAACGCGACGGCTTTAGGGGTCGTTCCGTGGCTACGCATGGTGGTGTCACTCCTGTCCGTCGCGGGGGCGTCGGGATGTGTTTGAAGAGAGAAAGAGAGAGAGGCTGACCGCACAGAGTAACCCACTGGCGTCAAGCACTGTCTCCAGCGTCAAGTTCTCGATAACCTTCGCCTCTCGCTACTGTACCTGAATACGCGACGTCGCACGCCCCTTCGTCGCTTCCGGGACGTCACCGCAAGTCATCGTGAGCACATGGACTTCACCGGATCATCTGCATCATTCCTATTCTAAATCGATGAATTAATTCGCGTCTAGAGTTGGTCTCGTGCGTGGCAGGTGGACGGCCCGGGGGCTTGATACTTGGATGCCCAGGACGCTCGATTATCCCGACGGGACTGGGTCACTTGTAGAAGTCTTCTTATTTTATATTTTTGCATTGCTTAGCAGCCATCCATACTCTTTGACGATATTGCCATATTTCCAGTACATACTCAGTTATTATTTAGGGACCCCCTCAGGGCGGTGGAGCAGTAGCGGGCCCCTGTAGCCTGCCGGAGTCGCGGCCCTGTTGTCTCCGGAGGTCGCGGGAGGCGAGCGCTACCAAGCCGTGAGTCGGGATGAGGTTCTTTCTCAGAATGAAAATACCTCCTCAGATGTGATGCCTCAGACCTCCCATATATATCGGCCTGTGACTTACTCGTTTGACTATTATTTCCAGTGATAGTTGGACTCGGATGTTGTATGTGTTAATGTGCATATGTCTTGACGAAAATGATGGATAAATATAATGCATTTATTTTTAGTTAACATTAACGTGCTAGTCAGATTATAATATAATGTTAAATGGCTCGTTATGATTGAGCCTCGTTCCTTCTTTATCAGTCTTTTATTTCCTCTCTCTTCCTCCCCTAAAGTCACAGTCAGACGCCATCTGTCTCTTTGACTCGTGTTATCTTTATCTCCGACGTGAGAACCTGTAGAAAGATATCAAGACCATTGTCACGAAGCTTCACGAGATCCTTTGATGACAGTGATTACGGGAGCTCTCATAGTTATCTGTGATCTAATATATTCGTTATTATAACACTTCGAATCTCCTTTCATTATTTTTATATTGATTTATATCGCTTTTGCTTCTACGGATCTCGGACCAGCGCGGACGTGACACGGCGGGTAGAAAGGAACCCAGA